CAGAGACACACACACACACACACACACACACACACACACACACACACACACTCCCAGCTGGTCGGTGACAGACTGAGACCTACGCGGTCCAGGTGACGGTGGTGGGCGGTGGGTTGGCGTTGGCCAGACACGTGAGCACGGCGTCGGAGCGGCCCACGTACCAGTTGTGGTCGTAGCCCTCTATGGACACGGAGGGGGGGTCTGAGAGAGAGACAGAGAGAGAGAGAGAGAGAGATCAGTACCAACCCAGAACATCGTTTATCGTTTAGAGTCGGCACTCGAACCTGTGACCTTCTGGCTGTAAGGCTAACATGCTAAGCTAAATTCATTTTGACTTAGCACGTTAACTGGGCATGGCTCTGATCAGAACACGTACGTATGTGTGTCCCCCCCCGCCCCCCCTCCCCCCTGAGTCGGTGCCTAACTCTCCGTAAAGTCAAACTGAACCTGAGTAATAATTTAATCCCAGTGAAATTAGAATGGAATCAACGGGATTAGAGGAAAGACAGTGTTTGTGTGGAGACACACAAACCCCCCACAGTAAACAGTTTTACTGAAGCAGTAAAAAGTTGTGACTGATGATCAAACAGGAACTCGGTCGATCAAACTCCAGCTCCACTCAAAAGATTTGTGTCACAGTGTCCGTGGAGGCGGGGCTGAAGTAAAGGCCACCGGGGGGCGCAGCCGGACCGTTCAGCACTCTTGGCTGTGGTTGGCAGAATTATTTGCATCATTATTTGAATTCACGACACATAACGGTGAGAAATGACCCTCGGAGGTGAGGCTGAGGTTAGGAGGGACGTGATTGGCCGAGGCTCCTCGCACCACCGCTCCCTACAGGGCCATGAAGACACTGCTGATCTAAGGAACCCCCCCTCGCCCCCCCCCCGGCCTCCGAGTGTGTTCCTGGAGTTGATGTGTAACACGACGAGAGACAAAGAAACCGACCTGACGACAACGACGATCAAAAACAGAAAAATAAAAACTCTGAAAGATCAAAGACCAACCAGAATAAAAATTCAAAATTATTTCGAGAAACAAAAACACTCTGTCAGAAAACATTAGCTCTGAACCAGGTCAAGTCCAAACAAATTTTGTAAAAATGTTTAATTTATTAAATTTGCTAAAAATAAAAAGGTTTGGAAAATTCTTTCAGAAAAATAAATTTGGAAAAAGTTGTTTTTACAAAAACCACAATGACCTTTGAACCTTGGAAAAATGTAGCAACAAGCTAATATTTCCTAAAGACAGCTAGTTAGGGAACTAGCTAGTTAGCGAAGTAGCTAGTTAGTGAACAACAACTCATTCAGAGCTGATGACTGAGTCTGACTCATGGTAAGGAATCCTGGAAAAAAAAAATCAAACAGTCCTGGAAAGTTCTTGGATGGAACACCTACACTCCACGGACAGCGTGACGGGGTAGACCCACGGCCGCTCCTGCGTCCGCTGCTCCACCATGCACATCAGCTCCCTGCCGTTGTCCGTGGGCGTGGGAACCAGTCGGTACTCGCTGCGCACCGTCACCGTGCCGTCCGGTCCGCTGGTGGTGCTGGTGGAATGGTTCCCGCCCAGCGACGTCTGCCACTTGATGGTGGCGGCGGGTTTACCATCCACCGCCTCGCACTGGGCCACCACCACCGACTTGGTGCCGGCCTGGACCGTGACCACCCGGGCCGAGTTCTTGGGTTTAGCTGCGGGAGAACAGACAGAAGGAGGAGGGTTAGAATCCTGACGTGGGGGGGGGGGCAGGGGGGGTTAATAAGGCTGTTGTACTGTGTGTGTGCACCGTCGCCTCCTACTGGGACTGTAATGAATGTCAGCGAAGGCGACGCCCACTGGCGCGATGCCAAACATCACAATGTCAGAGCAGAGAGAAAAGTACCGTCAGATCCCCGGGTACCAGAGAAAGTACCAGAGTGTGAGCTGCAGAACTTTACAGACAGTTCAGAGAGTTCCAGTGGATCACTGGAGACTAAAGTTCTCTTAATGTTAGCTGTTAGCTGTTAGCTTCCAAAGCTACAGACCAGTGAACCCGCACACGGTCACTGGTTCACATCCCTGTGGACCCAGGTCCATAAAGACAAAGACTGGTGCTGAATCTTTCATTAAAGAACCAGGAGAACTGGAACTGTTTCAATGTGTCCATTAGGAGGCGTCGGAGCGGTAAAGCGCTGCAGTTTGACGGACCAATCAATTCACAGATCAATAGTTTGCTCTGGGGGAAGCGATAAATGTGTCACGTTCTACACCAGGTTCGACTCCAGAGGAGCGGCGGTCGATACTTAACGGTCCTGGAACTCTCCGGGGACCACGGTCCAGACCAGACCAGACCAGACCAGACCACGGGGCACAGGTCTACGTTAACCATGAAGTCGTTTATTTAAATCTGGACTCAAAGCTTTTTATCATGGCTAACATTTAGCCGCTGTCACTAGCATCATTAGCATAAAACAGTCGCTAGACAACATTAGCAAAATTTTAAAAAATGTAGACTTTGTTTTTATGATCATGGCGGAGACCACGGGGGAGACCACGGGGGAGACCACGGGGGAGAGCAGAAGTGAAGGACCTTAATGGTCCCCAGTACTGTTAGCTGCATGAGGGTGCGTTTGTTTTGTGAACCCAGAGAGTCAGGCTCAGATTGGACTGCAGTGTCAATTGGATTTTGATGAGTTTGCAGACGACGCCGTGGTTTTTAATCTGAGGAACACGGCGCTGGTACTTTTGTGGGGGACAATAAAGAGAGCGTCTCTGTGAACTGTTTCAATTCAATCTCCACAATTACCTTCACACGCCGTTTGTTCCCTGACCGTTAAAACGCACTTCACTGTGAAAATGTTCCTTTAGCAGAACCGATCCTGTGAGGCTGGAGCAGAGAAGACGAAATACACATGATTATTCTTTGGTTCCTGGTACCGATTGAATTAACTGGGCTCAGTACCAGGAAACGTTATATGTCCTCAATAATGTAATCAGTACCAGGAACCAGGAATGACCCGTGTAGACCAAGAACAGTACCTGAAGGCCACACCTACTGGAGGATACTACATACAGTACCACACATACTGTACTACAGTACCAACAGTACCAGCAAAAGTATGGCTAACACTTAGCTAGAGATCACCTAGAGATCGGAGTTCTTCTTTTGGCCCAGGTTTGAAGCTGGAACTCTACGTCAGTACTGAGTTTTTTTTCCCCCCTGTCACTGATGCTGATGTCACTGATGCTGATGTCACTGATGCTGATGTCACTGCTGCTGCTGCAGAGATCGTATGATTCCATTTTGGAGCCTTCGTGAAGCAGTGAAGTGCAGAGAGGCTGAACAGAACCATGGTGGGAGGAGGGGGGAGACGGGGGAGGTGTGTGTGTGTGTGGGGGTGTCAGGTCTCTGCCTCCAGGAGGTGTTCTGCACATTTACCTTTTTTTTTTCCTCCAACAGAGGAGTCTGAATCTGAACAACCTACAGGTCAGCTGAAAGGTCACTGACCTCCTGCCACAGACTGTAGGTCAGTAACAGTCGACCTACAGCCAAGAACAGATTAAAATGAGCAAATAAAGTAAAAAAAAAGAAAAGAAGGAGGACGATGTTTCACTCTGAGAAGTGAAGTTCTGATGCGAGGACCGTCGCAGAGACCCGTGAGAATTCCTGATGGTTCTGCTCTGACCTTTTTCTTCATGCAGAAACTAAGTTCTTTTTCACACCTGATTTCTTCACCGCTCCTCCTCCTCCTCCTCCTCCTCCAAGTCTCCGTCCTGAAACGCTGGGCTGACGTCCGTGGTCATGACATCACTGGTTAATTGAGAACATAACCATCAGATTAATCAGATTAATCTGTAATAATCTGCAGCTGCAGCCTGATCCTCCAGGCCGGGCTGTGACAGACGCCACAGATCGGAGACGGAGACGTCGTCTTTAAGTGGAACCACGTCTTTAATGCAGCGTCCAGAGTCGGCGGCTTGTCTTCATTAGACACACGTCTTCATGGACTTTAATCCTGTTAATGCTGTTCCCACAGAACTGTCTCCCCCCCCACCTCCCACCTCCATCATCTCCAGGCAGCTTTGAGAAGCTGAACTCCACACTGACACTTGATGACCAATCAGAAGAGGAGTCAAGATCATGTGTCGTAGGTGTGGTCCACTCCCCCTGTGGGACGGTCAAGTGGCCCACATTGACTGGTCGACGTCATCCTGAACTTCACTTTTATTCAGATTTAAACTAGAAAAGCTGTGATTTGATGCATTTAGATAAATGTAAAGAAAGGATGGACAAATGAAGCTAAACGGTAGCTAAAGCTAGCTAAAACTTACCAACAACGTGATTTAAGAGATGGGATTAAATAAAAATAGCCAGATAGCTTAATGTTAGCCAGATAGCTTAATGTTAGCCAGAGCTAATGTTAGCCAGAGCTAACGTTAGCCAAAGCCAGGACAGAAAAGTTGAATGACAAGGAACGGAAAACGTTACCAGACCTAACGATGTTTTTATTTTAATTACATTTCCACCGTAGTCAAATGTCAAACTAAAGAAGTGGCGTGAATAAATTAACGTTTGTCACAGCTAACACCCCCCCCCTCCCCCCCGAAGGATTTCCAGACTTGATCACTGCAGCTCCACTGATCATGATTTCTCCTCCGACGTACAGAGGAGGACGTTTGTAACACCTCAGTGATGTGGAGACGATCTGTGAACTCCCCCCCCCACACCTCCCCCATCCAGGCGGGGGGGGGACACATTAACTACAGCGTGGCTTCACCTAAACGCATCCATTTTCCCCACTTGTCTTTCCTGGAAAATTGTGGGAAATTACTGTCACGATGAAAGAACACGGATCCACGGAGTGACACGAGGAGGAGACGACTGTAGTCACTGCTGGGTGTGAAGTGAAAATGAACCCCCCCCCCCCCACGCCTCCCCCCACGCCTCCCCCCACGCCTCCCCCCACGCCTCCCCCCACGCCTCCCCCCACGCCTCCCCCCACCTGCTTCCTGTTCCTGTAATTATGTGAAAAAAGAGAGAAAAAAAAGAGGAGAACCCGTGGTTGTCCTCTTTGGAGAACTCCTCCTCCTCCTCTTAGTGAGTGGAGAGAGAACGTTGGAGAACAGACTGGTGGGTGAATGAAAAACACCAGCTGTCGCTGCTAACAGCTAACTGTTTCCTGTTAGCAGCTTCAGAACAGACATGTACCCACAATGCAATGTGTCCAGGTTTCAGAGCTTGTCTGTGAAACACACTGCAGCCAGTGCAGGATTCAAACCTGCAACCCCGACCATCTGACCACTGAAGGACGTGGTTCAACAGTTGTGTTTTTTTTTTCACACTCACCCAGCATGACCAGAGTCGTCGTCCCTTGTTCATTCCCCGACGGGTAGGTGGCGTACTCGCAGGTGTAGCGGCCGGCGTCGGACATTTTCAGGTTAGAGATTCGAATGGAAGGGTTCTCCAGGGTGTTGTGCAGGAAAACGACCCGGTCCTTGAACGCCACGTTGGGGAAACTCTGTCCATATATGGGGTGGTAGACGGCGATGTTGTCGCGTTGTCCATCGGACGGTTCCCAGATCCACGACACCTGCGGACACAGAGCGACGTTAGCGGCTTTTCCTTTACTTCAGGCTAACGTTTCTGGAGTGAAGTGTTAGCTGCTCTGTGCTAATTTAGTTTTCAGACTTGGATCGCACTGCTAGCGTCAACATAAAATCTGAGCTAAATCACTACAGGAGAAGAAGAATCTTTAGAATCTAATTACAGGTTGTCCATTTATTTATAACAGGCCGATGCTGTGTTAGCGTACGTTTTAACTGAGCGTCCGATGCTGTCAACATCTGGCGACGTTTCCGCTAGTTCTGACCAACGTTTTTCTCTTTTCTTTTCCTTTGAGTGAAAATGAAGACTGTGTGAAGTATTTCCTTTCTGTCTCTTTAGCCTTTAGCCTCAGCTAACTCTGAACTATAACGAGGGAATTTCAAGGCCAATTAAACACAGTCATGGAAGGACAGCCTAGTGACAGGTTTATGTACTACACCGACGTCAAACTTAAAGAAACATTTCATCACACGATCCCATCGAAGCACCGAGAGATAACAGCAGCGGTGGGGAATCTCAAAGGGGGGAGTGAGGGGAGTCGGGGGAGTCGGGGGGGGGATCTGTCTTCTGCCGATAATTTCAATTTGAGGTGAGAATGTCAAACTCAATTATCGCAGCTCTGAGTGTGCGCTGTGAGGAGAACGTGTTGGAGGCAGGAACAGAAACTGAAATGAAAGATATCGGTCTCTCGTCGACGGCCGTCCGTGGCTCCCTGCGCTCCTTCTCTGTGATACAGGAAAGATATCGATGTGTTTTATGAGGCT